CTCATATCTGATCCTAAAGGTCATGGAGATTTTACGGAATACAGCAGTGACACAGTCAGACTTACACTTCAGGAAAAATCATTTTCACAGATGTGTGAAGAATGGCTTAGGAAAAGGAAACACCTAGAGCAATGAAACCAAAAAAGAGGCTACTGCAATAGTCCAGTAGAGAGGCAATAAGGTCGTGGACTACAGTGAGGGATGTGTGATTAGAGGACAGATGCAAGAGATGTTATGGAGGTTGAATTAACAAGATTTAACAAATGACTACGTAGTGAAGGATGACACTAAGACAGTGAACTTGGGTAACTGGAAAAATGAATGAATGGTTAGTTACACATTAAGCACTTACTATGAGCCAGGCACTGTGCTAAGCACAGAATGGTGGTACCCTCAACACAAATAGGGAAACTCAGAAACAGAAGTTAGTGGATATTAAAAATAATGAATTCTGTTTTGGACATGTTAAATTTGAGATGCCTATATGATATACAGCTCAAAATCACCAGTAGGCCAGCTGTTGATGAGAGATTAGAGCTCAAGGGAGAAAATGGGACCGGAGATTTGTGAGTTTATCATTGTAGAAATAACTAAACCCTAAAGACATCAGACAAAAGGGCCAAAGACAAAGCTTTGTCCACAGTTAGGGGGCAAGAGATGAAGAACCAACAAAAGAAACTGAGAAGGAGCAGTTAGGTAGCAGAGAAGCCAAAAGAGAGCACTGTCATGAAAACCCAGAGAAAGAAAGAATATTCATAAGGAAAGCAGTATCAATGGTGTCAAATGACATAGATAGATCAAGAAGGATGAAAAGTGAGAAAAGAGGGGCAGCTAGATCGCTCAGTGGATAAAGTACTGTCCTTGGATTCAGGAAGACCTGAGTTCAAATCTGGCCTCAGACACTTGACACTTACTAGCTCTGTGACCCCAGGCAAGTCACTTCACTCCATTGCCTCACCAAAAAAAAAAAGTGAGAAAAGGCTATCAGGGGCTTTGGCAATTAAGAGATTGTTGGTCATTTTTGAAGAGGGCAGTTTCAGTTGACTCATGAGGCTGGAATCCAAATCGTATAGGATTAAGAAGTATGTAAAGGGGGAGGAAGAAGAAGCAAGGAGGGTAGACAGTTTTTTCTAGGTGTCCGGCTAAGAAAAATAAGAATAGGAAGTATACTTGTGATTTCACTAGCATGGGATATTCCTGGATGAAAGACAGTGCATGTTAGAGAGGCAATACTGAAATCCAGGTTTGCCCAGCTTCAATGCCAGGTCTCTATCCATTGCACCACACTGCCTTTCAGTCTAACAAAGCCTTTTTTTTAAAGATAGGAGATTCTTCAAGCAGTACTCAGCAAAAACCAGAGGGCCTAAACAATCCTAATCTGAAAAGAGCTCACTATGCAAATTGTGACAAAGACAAGGACTCTGAGTGAAAATCTAATGCCCAGACACCTTCTACAAGATGATGCAGTTTTGAAAAGAAAAAAAAAGTGCAACAGACTGTATTGAGAGTTCTGATTTTGCTCTGTCATTTATTTGCTATATGGCTACAGGCAAATCAACATCTTACTCTATTGATTTCTTTAGAGATAAAATGGGGAGAATACCTCATAAACCTGAGTTTTTACTCAAGCATCAAAACTCTAGCTATAGATTACAATATGAATATTCAACTGGAAAGACTTGGAGTATGACAAAAATCAGACCAACTCAAAAAACAGTCCTTAAGATAGTCTTTCTCAATCCATTTTTTAAAGCTGCAAGCCTCAGCACTAAATTTCACCCAGAACTAACAACATACTTTTTCACTTCTCTGGCTACTGTATTTACATGGAACCAAAAAGAAGCCAAAAACAGACAATGCTTTCTGGTGTGCTTCAGGACAATTCTTGGCAGTGGCTAAAACAACAATGAGATAATAGGAAATGTTGATGAAGAGAGAGATTCTTAAGATACTTGAGGATCTCTAACATATTTATAACTCAATTTAAATTTACAAACCATCAAAGCAGATTTGGATTTTTAATAAGCCTACAAAAGTTAAAGCAAAAAGCAAAGCCAAGAGCATCTCTAGAAGACTTTTGAGGAACTATTTTAGCCATATTTGTAATAGTCATAGATATGTTTTAAGTCTTAAGATTAACCAGGCTATGTGAAATGGGAAAATCAAGTCCCTTAAGCACCTGAATCCTACTGTATCAAAACCCGACAGCACACCCCTCCTTGACCATCTCTGTCACTACTCTTTTTCATTCCAGTTTAATCTGTACACAAATTGCCAAAATCTCAAAAGGCTTTTTTACATCACGTCACTACCCTAAACCAGAACCTATGGTTACATCCAATCACCTATTAATATTAAAAACTAAATTTCTCAGTCCACCTGCCCCCCTATGCCCCACATACACACAATGCTGCCATCCCCTGGTGACACACATGGGTAACACCTGCACCTGAGGCTGGAGGGTACAGTTCTACTGAGGTGGTATTTCTGAATTAGGCTTAGCAGGTCTGAGCAGTACATGGGCTAAGGCCAAGCAAGTATCTGCACAAAATCTGACACAAATATGATGAACCTCTGAATGGGGAATATGGAGGCTGGGCCAGGCTGCCCAAAACAGGGTGAAAACAGCCCAGGTCAGAAACAGAGGAGATCAAAGGTTCTCCATGCCAATTAGCACAGAGTTGGGATCATGAGTGGCCACTTCACTCCCAAGCTGGGTGCGACAGGAAAAACTAGTCTCAAAAAGAAAATAAAATTAGGAACGCAATTTATACTCTACCAACTATGTGCTCAAAGACTTGAGTCAAGCACCATCTCCCCTAATAAGCCTTTCCTGCAGATTACATATGACCTTGGGCAAGTCACTTTATTTCTATAAGCTCAGTTTCTTCATCTATAAATGAAGCCATTAAACCAGATCTTCTCTAAGGTCCTTTCCAACACCAACATTCCAAGACTCTATTAATTTCAGCATTTTAGCATTAGTCATACAGTATTTCTTAGTGCCTATAAAGTAGTTATACATTATCTTTTAACTGAAATGCGTAATTAAACGGTTAAAGTTATATCTGTTGTTGTTGCTTTCAAACAATTATATGTTTTTAAATGGAAAACATCTAGCTTGCAAGCTGGCATTTTGATTGAATCAAATGGGTTGTTATAGTTTTTTTTAAACTAAGTATAGTGAGATCTTGTACTCTCTGTACCTAACTGCTTAATTGTAAAGATGTAATGGGCTATAAAATATCAGTTGCAAAAACATACCTAAAAAGCTGGACTATCAGTACAGACACATACACACACACACACACACACACAAAATGTAGTGTATGTATATTTATATAGGGATGTGCGTGTGTGTGTGTGTGTGTGTGTGTGTGTGTGTGTGTGTGTGTAAAATTTGGATACTCAATAAAAAATGAAGACGGCTCAGAAATGAAAAGAAGAAAGAAAACAGGCTAGACTGCATTTGTGAAACTGCAGTTTTTAATAACTTTAAGGTTCTCCCTGAAACAAAGCCCCTTCTTTTTAATACCAATATTCTTCTAGTGATGCTATGCAGCTAAATAACCCACAATGCCATATTCTCTTAAGAATAGAAGTTGCAAGTCACCCAAAAGGCAACAGAGGGATTCACAGTGGGTATGACTATTCTATAACATATTACCAACAAAGAATCACACAGAAATAGCAACACAAAAGATGTCATCTGAGAAACACATAACTAGAAAAAGAGATGTGCTGGTCAAGTATCAATAGCAATTCATGATCAATGCAGAGGCTGTTTGCTCCATTGGTGCCTAGACAATGTAAAAAAATTTAAAGGAAAGCTCCCAATATGCTAGGCATAGCCTTCATGGAGGACCCACAGGAGGGGAAGTACAAGAGTTGCACAGAATTAGAAGATATGGATGGGTTCTAATTTGCACCCCTGGAGGTAGCGCTTACAATAAGATCAGAGAACCACTGAAGAAGTGGTCATCAAAGTACCAATAAAAGTATAAGATCATCATGTATTTGCAAAGGGCTCTGAAAGGAAACCCGGCAGATCATTCACAGCAATAGGAAATCATAAGATTAAACAGTCAGTGATGAGATAATTCCTTACAGAGTGATAAAGACAAGCCCTTGGCAATCAATCACTTTCAAATCCAATCAACCTTCAAATCAAGGAGTATTTCTATCATTCTAACAAAAATGCCAAGCCTAGCCCTGGTCTATGGGGGTTCAGAAAAAAAGGACTAAGATCTCAAGAACACCTTAAGAAAAGTGATAATGAATGTGAATCTGAATAATAAGAACCAAACAGGCCTATTAAAAGAAAGGTACGATGATTTACATTTATCTTTGAAATGGAAATTCACCTAAAAAAGAAAGTATACCAGGATATACAACTTCTTCCTTTTTTTATAATGCCACAGCTAAGACATAGCTAGTATACTTTCTACAGGGAGGTTTCAGCTTTATTCACTTAAAGAGAAAACCAAACTGCTTGAAGACTCCAAAAAGAGCAATGCTTGTAACTTGTTTGGATTACTTTTAAAATGTTGCATAATAATTATTATGGATAGTACATGCTTGGATTGCAACCGTTGCATTATACTACTCATTACAAGGAAAAGTAAAACTTAGGAAAGAAATGCTCCTCCTAATAATGCTCAGAGAGCTAGTACAGGATAATGCTGGCTTCAAAAAAAGAGAGTACTTAGATGAGCTAGGAGCTCTGATTCTGTCTTCAACAATGATTTAGCATATAGTCATGGGCAAGTTCCTATGCTACTCTACTAATTTCAATAGAGACAAAATAAGGAGGAAAAAAGTTCACTATCTTTTATACAACCCAGTGTGGAACATCTGAAGCACCATAATGCATTATGAAAATGTGTTGTGCTTAACAAACAAAAGGACAAAAAAGCATGCCTATCATGCGAAACCCCAGTTGAGCTAAACCCAAATGCCAGCATGAGGTGGAAAAGAAGTTGCACAATTGAAATCCTTACTTGGGAAGGACTGGTGGTTCAACTGGAACATCAGCAACAGCTATTGCTGGAGGTTCTGCCTCTGTAGAGCTGTGACCTGCCTCCTGCTCATCCCCAGGAGGGGCAGGGGGCTTCACCCTCTTTGTTTCCTGATGCCCACCAGCCCCTGCAGCAGGGCCACACTCTATGGCAGAGTCTATCTCCACCTCCTGGGCTGGGGCTGGCACTTTTTCAGCAGTTGCCACTGCCACAGCCTCCTCCTCTTCCTTTCTTCTCATTTTCTCTTCAAGTTCCTTTCTTCTCCTCTCATCATCTTGACGAGCCATGTACTCAAAGTTTTTGAAGACCTAAAGCCAAAAGAATAATATGATCAATCCAACTATCCAGTACAGTACCATACATCCTCTGTCATGGGTTAGAATCTGTTAAGTTCAGTATCAAAATGCAACAGAGACAACAGAGATCACGAGTATCACCTTTAATTTACTCTATGTTCAAAAGTCAGTGTTTTCACCCTATGCCAAGACTGCCTTTTCTGCTAAATGGGAGATGTACTTGCCTTGGCACCTCATCAAGCTACTGTACAAACTAGCACAAACAATACCAGCACCAGGTCTTAAATTTACCAAGCACTAAGTGCCTCTAACGTCTTCTTCAGCAACAGAAGAAAAAGGATATATGGTCCTGCCCTCAGAGGACTTAGCATCTCATTGGGCTGTAGGGTGATACAGCCTGCCTGTACAAGTAACAACAGCACCAGGTAGCTATGGTAAAGTAAATGGAGATACTTGGACAAAGTGCTCTAAGAAATTAAGGACAAAGGGATCACTTTCATTTGAGGTAGGGATCAGAGAAAGTTATATGGTTGAAGTGACACCTAAGCTAGGCCTTGTAAATAAGATTTCAACAGGTAATACAAAAAGAATACATTTCTACACCCCACCAAAAGCCACCCAAAGCTCCGTATGTCATCATCCTTTTAAATGCCTAACATTTTGTCAATTTACCTTTCTTTTTATTGAATGCTAATTTAAATAACTGAGAGAAAAAAATCCATGATGTTATCATTGCTTACTAAACAAATACATAAAATATAAAAAATCTAAAGCAACAGTCACTCCTACATTTTAGAGACACTTATCGATTTATCAATTTAGTCAGATTAAATGCCAGATGGGAAATCAGCTGAATTTTAATCCCCAGGGGTTACTGCTTTGTTTACTTTGCCGCTGCTCACAGACAAAAAGTATGTATTGCTACTTTCTTTGACATATTGGATTGGGGGGGGAGAAAAAAACTGATTTCAGATGAGCTATATCAATTAGCCAGTCTAAAGGAACAATAAGAGCACAAGAGAGAAGTAGAAATTATTTAACCAACAAAAAAAGACATCATCAAGTAATAGGAAAGTAGTAGTAGTAGTAAAAGGGTAAAGTAAAATATGACTTGGAAAAAAAAGTTACAGGCAGAGAAACAAAGCCCTTAATTTCAAAACTAGAAACCATAAATAGCTTTGTTTCTACATTCCTAGATAACCTGAGTAGCCTTCACCTCCATCTCTACTGCACATCATGAGAACAAGAGCATCATGACACCCTGCACCAGATACTGCTTGACTTCTCTCTAATCTGTCATCATTCATGTATCTCACCATATGTGGGAGACCTCCATTATTTCAGTACCCATTCTAGCCTCAATAATAGCATCTTATACCTGTACAGTACTTTATAGTATGTCAAGCATTTTCACATGTTATTTGATTCAATGTTAAGCATCTGTTAGTTTCCTACCCTACAATTCTTGTAAAACACTCTCTATGAAGTCACTAATGACTTAGGTTCTATTAGTTCCTTTTGTTTTTATATCAGTTATTTCCAGACATACCCTTCTCTTCACCCTTCCCACATCAGGAGCCTTCCTTAGTAACAAAAGGGAAAAAACCAGCAAAGCAAAATGTCAGTCTAACAGCATCTGCAACATTCCACATCCATAGTGCCCCACTTCTCCAAAGAAAAGAAGGAGGTACACATCCTCATATTTTCTCTGGAGCCAAGATTAGTCATAATTACACGGCATTCAACTTCATTTAACTGGCAATTTCCTAATAATTAAATTCAAAGCACTTTGCCCTCTGCACTGTTACGTTACAACTACTCCTCACTTCTTCCTTTGGTTTCTACAACCCTGTATATTCCTGGCTTTTCTATAACTTGACTTCTCAATTTTCTTTGCTCCCTCTTCCTCACTGTCCTGACCCCTAACTTTGGTTGCTCCCAAAGAATCTATATTCTCTTCTCTCTACATATACTCCCACTGAAGTAAGTTTCACGCAGGAAGGTATTATCTTTTTATTTTAAATCAACCACAGCACCTAGTATAGTATGATACCTGTACACAGGTACACATCAATACATAGTTATTCAGCTGAGATCACAATGACTCCTATCTATGTAAAAAACTTTAAAACTCCACCCTGAGCTACATTCCACCATTTCCAGCCCAGTCTGTTGGGCATTTTTTCCTGGATGCCCTTGCCAGAGCTTCAAACTAATCATATTTCCCTCAAGCCAAGTCACCCTTTCTGTTAATACTACCCCCTTTCTTCTACTCAACCTCATTTAAAATCTTGGATTCAAATTTTACTCCTTAGGCAGGTAGGTGGCACAGTGGATACAACAGCTGGGCCTGGAGTCAGGACAGACCTGAGAACAAATCCAGCCTCAAACACTTCCTGGATGTGTGAACCTCTTTTAGTCTCAGTTTCCTCAATTGCAATATGGGGATAATAATTGTAAAATGCAGATAATAATAATCCCATGGTTGTTGTGAGGGTCAATTGAGATATTTATAAAATACTCAGCACAGTGCCTAACATATATAATGTATAGGAGCTTAATAACCTTTTTTTTCCTGCCTTCATTCCTTCCTTCCTTCCACTGAATCAGCTACCAAGTCACAACTTCCATCAAATTTAGTTATCATATAATCATAGATTTAGAGCTAGAAGGGATTACAGAGATCACTGCATCCAATGATTACCTCTCATACATGAGGAAATCAATGTCCAGAGGTAGAGTGATCAGTTCAAGTCATCCAAGTAACACGTGTCAGAGACGGAATTTGGTCCCAATCCCAGTCTGTCCTCTCATTCTTTTACAAACCCTAAAACACTCCCCAGAATGGTAAGAAAACATCAGTCTTGGAGTCAGAAAGCTTTGCTCAAGTCCTGACTCTCAGTGGTCTTGATGAGTCATTTCACTTCAGTTTTCTCATCTGTAAACGGTGAACCTGGACTAGAAAGCTCAGATCTCTTCTACATCTAGAGCTAGGATTCTGTTATTACTCTTAGCTGCAACCATTGCTACAAACTGGGCCTCAACATCTCACACCTACACCTATCTAGAAAATAGCCCAGCTTTTCTTCCTGACACATCCTCTACTCTTTCCAATTCATCCTGCATTCCAGATTATTCTTTTTTTTTTTTTTGCTTTTTTTTGTGGGGGGGATGAGGCAATCAGGGTTAAGTGACTTGCCCAAGGTCACACAGCTAGTAAGTGTTAAGTGTCTGAGGCTGGATTTGAAACTCAGGTCCTCCTGACTCCAAGGCCAGAGCTCTATTCACTGCGCCACCTAGCTGCCTTACATACCAGATTATTCTTCCTAAAACAGTGCTTTAATCATATAGATAACTTCCCTAATCAAAGTCTCCTTTGGCTGAAGAATAGAAAAATGAAAGGGAGACAAGCTGGTAATATAGTAGGGCACCTGTATAGGATCTTAATACCAACTAAAGAGTGTGAACTTTACTTGGGAGGCAAAAAAGGGGACATTACAGAGTTTGAGGCAGAAGAATTACATAGCATCTATTGGTGGTATGAAGGATTGGTTGAAAGGAAAACTAAAATAGAAGCAGGAAGACCTATTAGAAGGTTATTTCAATAATCCATGCAGGTGGTAACAAGGACCAGGTATGAGGATAATGATGGTAAGAAGAGAAGAAAAAGATAGAAGAAATGGCATTTACAGAACTTGGTACCTAAATGGATATGAAAAGGAAGTCGGAAGGAAGTATTAAATATAATATCAAAGTTTTAAATACGGGAGACTACATACACCCCTTTATATTTTCCCTCTCTCTCCACACTTACAAACTGGTCTACTTACCATATCCCAAACCTTCATATTCTAGCTCCACATCTTTTGGGGTTTTTTCTAAGTGCTTTTTAAAAAATCTGTTCTTCACACTACTCTCCTCCCCCACTGAGCAAATTTTAAAAATACAAACCCCAAAATGAATCCCACAATACATATCTACATAGTCCAGGGAAAAAAATTCCCATATTAGCCATGTCCAATAATTTATGCCTCTACATTCTAAGTTCATCATCTAAGAGGTGAGTGGGCATATTTAATTTTCATTCTTTTGGACTCATAGTTTACCATCGTGTTGAGAGTTCTACAGTCTTTCAAAGTTGTTTTTCTCTATAATGTCGCTATCGTTGTATAAATTGCTCCTAGTTCTGCTTACTTTGTGCTACATCAGTTTATAAAGGTCCTCCACAGTTTCTTTGCAAACTGTTCATTTTATCATTTCTTATGGAACAATAACATTACATTATACTCCTATAACATCATTCGTTTAGCCTTTTCCCAATAGGAGAACAACCCTTAGTTTCCAAAGTCTGGCTACCAAGAAAAGAATTACTATAAATATGTTTGTACAACAAGATTCTTTTCCCTTTTCTTTGATTTCTTTGATTTACAGGTGGGAAAGGTGGAACAAAGCATACTTATAGTTCTGTTAACTTTCTGCATATAGTCCCAAACTGCTTTCCAGAATGGTTGTTAGACCAATTCATAGCTCTACCAACAACGCTAGCATACCTGTTTTCCCAAAGCCCTTTCCTCTTTTGTCATCTTTACTAATCTGATAGGTGAAACTTATCTCTGAGTAGCAGAACCAGTCTGTGAGGTAGAGCCTCAAAGCTGCTTTAAAATTATTAATGATTTAGAGCATTTTTCATCTGATTTTTGATAGCCTGGATTTCTTCTGAAAACTGCCAGCCAATTCATGTTCTTTGACCATTTAGTTATTGAGGAATGACTCTTAGTCTTATAAATTTGAATCAGTTCCTTATATATCTTAGATATAAGACCTTTACCAGAGAAATTTTTTGCAAAGATTTTTTTCTCAGCTACCTATTTCCTTTTGAATTTTTCCTACATTAGAGTAGGTTTTGCAAAAACTTTTTAATTTTGGGTAAACTTATCTATTTTATCATGGGTGATCATCTTTTATCATTTGGATGCCATAGATCTAACCCACAGACCCAAAAGGTTAATTTC